AGGCGGATCGTGTCAGCTCGGCTCGCACCCCGAAGAGGCAGAACATACAGAGAGCAATGAGCCTCTTGGTCCTCAGCACAGGGGCCTGCATGACCCGGGGAAGGAGATGCCTGGGGCCTGCCCCTGGCCTGTCATCTGTGACTCTGTGATCACACGCTGTAGGATGGAGGTGCTCAGGTCTGCCAGCACCCCGTACCCCGTATCCCGCCCCAGTGACTGAAGGCTTCATCTGACCACGCACTCCTCCTTCGCTGGCAGCCTGGGGGAGTGAAATGCTGTGGTTTCAGAGTCAGATTGACTCGGGTTCAAATCAGCGCCACCTGATCCTGCCCGAGTTGTTTAGCTGGTCTGAGTTCAGCCTCCTTGGACAAAACTGGGGATCATAGCGTTGACATTGTGGGTTTGTGAGATGAGGCTAGGCGGCAGCAGTTGTCGAGGGCTGGCACGATGCCTGGCGCGCAGTTCGACGTGGCTGTGGGATGGATGAATGCGTGACCATGGGAAGTGCCACCGCTGTGCCTGGCAACTGCCACGCACTCTGCAACTGTCGTCCCAGATCTCTAAGTAGAGTCGTGGATCCGGTACAGGCAGGGCCCCAGACATGGCCACCTGCTCAGAGCTGCAGGCCTGCCCCGAAATGCCTTTCTGAACCACGTGTTCCAGTCCCCAGTGATATGATTGACTCTCGGGGACCTCTGGAACAAGAGCAGGCAAATTGTCTATTAGAAACCAAAAAGCGGGACCAGCAGTTAGCGTAATGGCGATGTCGCTGGACTCCCATGTAGTTGACCATGGTTCGAGTCCTGGACTCGGCAGCTTAAAATTCACGCCAGGCGCATGTGCGTGCGTGCCCAAGATTCCGAGAGGAGAATGAAGGAGAAAGGATTGTGGTGTGGCCATCCCCCCTGGGGGGTGATTTCTTGCTTTCTGTCTCTCTGTCTCTCTCTGTCTGGAGAACGCACACACCCGATAGCAAAACCTCTCCAAAAGAAAAACCAAACAAAAAAGAATTGAGTCAGAAACACAAAAGCACCAGAGCGCATGCGGACCCGCCCCCATGGGTCTCATTACCCAGGATGTTGCTGTCTTCCTCTGGGGGTGGCAGGCAGAAGGAGCTCTCCTGAACCTGAGTGTTCCATGCGTGGAGTTACTCACCTGGAGGCGAGACTGCAGCGGGGGGCCCAGCAGACCCCCGGAGATCAGCCCCTGGCAGGAGGCTCTGCTTACGCCCCTCTCACCTGCCCCCGTTGCCTGCACTCTGCCTGGCCTGGACCAGGACTTCAGCGCTTCTTCCCGAAGGTTCTGTCCCAGTAGGAGGAATGGTATCGAAAACCCGAGGAGGCCGGTGCCCTATGGCGGCTTGCTCCCTCCAAGATGGTTTTAGGTTTTAGGTTTTTGTGGAAGGAAAAACCTGTTGGAGCTTTCCAAGGCCCTTAGTAGGCAACGGCACTCAGTGTTTCCGAAGCTCACCGTCGAGGCGCTGCCTTACAGACCTGCTGTTGGGTGTTTGTGGCTGCCCTGTATGGGCCAGGCGCTGTGCTGGGTATCCTGGGGAAGGAGAGATGAAGGACACACCCCACTTGCAAGTGTCTCACAGTCCGTAGGAAAAATATGTGTGTGAGTGCTTAACAGAGCGCATAAGAGAGGCCTAACAGAAGGTCTGTCCAGACCTCGGGTTCACTCATCCTGGTAGGAGCCTCCCATTCTCTTACCCAGTGTTCCAGAAGGCAGACACCTATGCCTGCCCGCACGTGTTTCTGAGGGCTCCTTCTCAGTTCCCGGCTAGGGCTTCTTAACTGAGACTCCAGCGTGGAGGTCAACGTGGCGATCTGAAAGGAAACTTCTCCCTTCGGTCTGTGTGCACCAGCCCGGAGCTAACCCCTCGCCTTGTCCTGCAGCTCTCCACAATTATAGACATGCTGGAAGGAGCTTTCTACGGCCTCGATCTCCTGAAGCTGCATTCAGTCACCACCAAGCTGGTGGGGCGCGTGGATAAACTGGAGGAGGTAAGGAAGTGGCTGGTTTCCACATCTTTCTCTTCATCCAAAGCATATCAAGCTTCCCTAAATGTTCTGTTTCAGAAAGTGTCCCCTGACTAGACCTAACCATTCTATTTTCAGAGAAGAAAAAATATACGTAAAACATTCTTCCAAAATCGGGAACCAGCAGTTAGCGTAATGGCTATGTCGCTGGACTCCCACGTAGTCGACCACGGTTCGCGTCCAGGACCCGGTGGCTTAAAACTCACACCGGGCGCGTGTGCGTGCGTGCCCAAAATCCCAAGAGAAGAATGGAGGAGAAGGGATTGTGGTGTGACCATCCCCCCTGGGGGGTGATTTCTCGCTTTCTGTCTCTATATCTCTCTCTGTCTGGCGAGCGCATGCGCCCTATAGCGAAAACCTCTAAAAAAAAAAAAAAAACTTCCAAAATCATGCCAAATTCAGGACCAGCAGTTAGCGTAATGGCTATGTCGCTGGACTCTCATGTAGTCGACCGTGATTCACGTCCCGGACCCGGCGGCTTAAACTCATGCCGGGCGCGTGTGCGTGCATGCCCAGCATCCCAAGAGGAGAATGGAGGAGAAGGGATTGTGGTGTGGCCATCCCCCTAGGGGGTGATTTCTCGCTTTCTCTCTCTCTGTCTCTGTCTTTCTGGCGAGCGCACGCGCCCTATAGCAAAAAGCCCAGCCACCGCCCCCTGTACCAAAAACCCCTCCAAAAAAAAAAAAAAAATCATGCCAAATTCGTGATGACAAAAATATCAGGGAAGGGACAGCCAGTGGCATGGCGGTTCAGGTGGCTGACTCCCACGTGGCCAAGTGTGTGATTCGAATCCCAGACCCAGAGACTTGAAAAAAACTCCAGGCACACGTGTGTGCACGCCCAGAAGCGTGAGAGAATGAAGGAGAAGGGATTGTAACGTGGCCACCCTCCCTTGGGTGTTGCATTCCTTTCTCCTCCATTTTTCCTCTTGGGATCTTGGGCATGCAGTCACACACACCTAACGTGCTTTTCAAGCAACACCTCCAGGACTCGTACCGTACATCCGTCATGTGGGATCCAGCTGCCCTAACCTCCGCACCACTGGCTGGCCTGGGATTGAATGTCTGTAGGAATAGGGGTGACAGCCACTGTCACTGCTTTTACCCGTCTTGGCAGCCACACGGATTTAATTCTGTCTGGAGAACACGGCTGGGGGCAGCAGCACGAGGGAGGAGCTCAGCCTCTGAGCTGGCCAGTGGGCTGGGTCTGAGGCTGGGTGGTGACTTCTTTCCTGCCTATCTGCTGGCCAAGGGTCGGAGTGTTGCGTGTGTTTGGTGCAAAGCTACCGCCCCAGCAGTATGTGCCTTCGATGCAGTCACACAATAACTGAATTTCTACTGAGAACACTTAGTTACAAGGATGAGAGTATCTTTTTTTTCATACTGTGGTATGCTTGGTAGCAAAAACTGGACCTTTGTAATAATAATAATCACAATCCTTTATGGTGGACAGCTCTGGATAATTTTTAAAGCATTCTGTATCCACCTAGCAGTTCATTTTTTCCTGTGAGCTGGGCAGGCTGAGACCCAAGGACATCCGATGACTTGCCCAAGAGCACAGTGCCAGGCTGGGACTCAGGCCTCCTAGTTCTGCCCAGAGCTCCAATCAGCCTCGTCAGTTTCTTCGAATCACTGCTGCTCTGTAAGCATCAATTTTTCCCAACCAGAATGTAACACAATGGCTCTTCCAAGGGAATTCCTAGGCAGAACAATGGCTGTCTTCCATAGTCCCATTAAACAGGATTAAAGTGGAGTTGGGGAAGGTCCTCCCCAGAGGAAGGTTCCCCCAGACCAGACAGTCCAAAGCTGTAGGGTGCTGTGGTGTGGACAGCAGTCTCCAGACGTGTCCAGGCCTGTGGGCCCAAAGAGCAGAGTACTGTATCTTGGCTTGATTTTGCCTGCTGGCTCTTGCCTGCTGGCTGTCTGGAGTCTCTAATAATCGGAAAGGCAGAATGTTGGATGAATGGAAAAAGCACTCCCCTCTCCAAGCCTGGCTCTGCAGGAGAAATGGAAATGGAATTCTGCTCCTGGTGCTTGGATATTCTCGAGTCCCAAGAGGAGTTCTTTGGAGGTCAGACAAGACAAAGAGGGTCAGAGTGGAAAGACGTCTTGCCCAGAGCCTGAGCGGTGCTTGGTGGTTTCAGCGGGCACAGCGCAGGGACACAGCGCAGGGACACAGCGCAGGGACACAGCACAGTCTCGCCCGGGTGTGCAGGAGCATGGAGGAATGGAAAGCCCATTAGCAGATGGAAGAGGAAGGAAGAAGAGAGGAACGGAGTGGGGACTGTTCAGCCTCACCTCTTGGTAGAATCAGCTCTGGGAGCTCTGCGTAGTGCAGGGGTTTTGGTTAAACTTTTGTTATAAATTGTGAAAAGAAACACACGCTTGACGAGTGTATCAACAGTGAGCGAGCAGATTAGAGCATTCTTATAAATCATCCGCCCACATAGCCACCACCCAGCTGAAGAACTAGCCGTGTTCCCTCCCCAGAGGCCTCCTCCCACACATTCTCTCCTGTTGGTTTTTTTGTTTTGTTTTTTAGGTTTTTTGTCATAGGGCATGTGTGCTCACTGGAGAGAGACAGAGAGAAGGAACGTGAGGAATCACCCCCACCCCCTGCTGGGGGGCTGGCCATGCAATCCCTTCTCCTCCCCTTCTCCTCCATTTTCCTCCTGGGGTTTTGGGCACATGCGCCCAGCGTGGATTTTAAGCTGCCAGGTCCCGCCCTCAAACTTCAGCTGGTGATCCAACACCTTCGCCACCACACCTGCTCTCTCCTATTCTCACCACTCTCTGTCCTGGTTTTCAGGCTCATTATCCTCCTTACTTTTGTTTATAGTTTCATCATCTAAGGATATGTCCCTAAATATAAGTGTTCTGTCTGTTTTTGAACTTTGAAAAGAGACAGTCCTGCAGAAGTGCGTGTGCGTGTGTTCAGCTTTTCTTGTGACTTTATGTTACTGTTTGTACATGTTATTTTTTTGTCCTGCGGTCCATTCATCTTTATTGCTGTGTGATATTCTATTGTACCCATATACTACAATTTATTTATTTACAATTTATTTATACTACAGTTTATTATTTATGGAGAAGGGATTGTGGCATGGCCATCCCCTGGGGGGGAGGGTGATTTCTCATTTTTACTCTCTGTGTCTCTGACCACTGAGCACAGGCACCCTATGGCAAAAACCTTAAAAAAAAAAAAAAAAGAAGAAGAAAGAAAGAAAAACAGATAAATATCCTTACTTGTCCCGGCCCGCGGGATGATCGGGCAGGGTGCCTGAGTGAGAGCGGAGGTCTGGAACCGGCGCAGCGTCACAACACGGGAGCGACACAGTGTCACAGCTCAAGATGGAATGCAGTTGCTCGTTTATTGGGGGCCAGAGAACATTCTTATATACACAGGGTAGGAAGAGGGGGCGGGAATTGTCGCGGACCTGGCTGAGGACCTGCCTGAATGAGGAAGTCTCAGGGTGAATTGTCTACTCCTGGAACAAGGATACTTGAAGGTCCTTGTCTGAAGGTCATGTCAGCCATTTTGGTGCATGTGGCTTCCTACACTTACTGTTGATGGATATGTGAGTTGTTTCATTTCGTAATTCATAATATGGGTGACATAAACAAGTTCATGAGTAAGTGGAATTGAAGTACACGTTGGCCCAGCCTTGGTGGCACAGTTGGTGGCATGCTGACCTGCCTCTGGAAGCCACAAGGCCGACTGCAGGTCCAGATGCCCCAGCCCCGTTGACCTGAAACACGCCAGGCATGCGTTTGCATGTTTAAGATCCTGATGAGCTTGAGAGCTGGGTGACGGGGATGTGGTATGAGCAGGCCCCATAGGGGTGTTTCTCTTTCTCTTTTTCTCACATGAGCACGTACACATATTCTATCATGTAAAGACAGATTTCTAAAAAAGGACTTTAGGGGGACCAGCAGTTAGCGTAATGGCTGTGTAGCTGAACTCCTGTGGTTCGAGTCCTGGACCTGGTGGCTTAAACTCACGCAGGCACGTGTGCGTGTGTGCCCAAGATCCCAGGAGGAGAATGGAGGAGAAGGGATTGCAGCACGGCCATCTCCCCTGGGGGGTGATTTCTTGCTTTCTGTCTCTCTGTCTCTCTCTTTCTGGCGTGCGCACGCACTCTGTAGCAAAAATAAATAAATAAATAAATAAATAAGGACTTTGGGGACTAATAGGTGGCATGGTGGTCAAGTTACTGGACTCCCACATGGCTAGCCGTGGTTTGAATGCTAGACTCTGTGGATTGAAAATCATGCTGTGTATACACGTGTGCATGTGTGCCCAAAATCTTGAGAGGATAATGGAGAAGGGATTGTGGCATGGTCATCCCCTGGGGGGAGGGTGATTTCTCATTTTTATTCTCTGTGTCTCTGACCACTGAGCTCAGGCACCCTATGGCAAAAACCTTAAAAAAAAAAAAAAAACCTGAAAAACAATACAAAACTTAAAAAAAAGAAAAAGTCAAAGTTTATTTTAGTGCAAAAAAAAAGTCAGAATCTTTGCATGGTTTCCATGATGTGCATTTTTCACCACCTTTTTGAAGAGCCCGCGTAGCCTCGTGCACCTCCCTGCACGTGCACCCGGGTGCATGCCTGCCTTCGTCTCTCTGAAGTCCATAACTAGGAGGGAACTAGGGATCACTGGGTGTGCTTACCTCTGACTCAAGATCTCACCAAACTCCTTCCAGCGGCGGTGCACGCTGGCGCTCCTTCCGGCACCCTATGGAAGCTCCACACCCATTCTCACCCATGCTGTCTCATTTGTACCTGTTTGGAAGGTAGATCTTAGTCGGGCCATTTCACTGTGTTTCAAAAACCTGACCCCCTGCCCCCTAACATCTTTCCTGTTCACCTGGGCGAGTCCTGAACCCCATGGACTAGAAGAAGAAACACCCAGGATGGTCGGCGGTCCAGGGTAAACGTCAGCTGGCCTCTCCCGTGAGTGGC